AGTAACTTTGTGATACATATATTGAACTGACATTGTAATGGCGTCTTTCGACGAAATAAGGAATAATTTTCTCTTGCATTTTCTTTGGATCAGCACATACATCTTCAAATATGACTACTTTATCCTGTCCAGAGAAAATAAATCTATCTTAGGAATTTTATCAGGCTTCAAAGCTCAGAATGAAATATTTTCACAATATAGTTTTGGGCTATTAGCAATTATTTGATCGACCGATTTGAGATACAAATATTTCAGCTTTTTGAGTTGATGGCTGATCAATAGCAAATTATCATTCTTAATATATCTGCTTCTATCTTTCTTTCCATTAAACATCTGATAAAGCTTATTTTCAAGCATGAGATTAAGAATTTCATTAGTTTTTTCAGAATTAGTATGACTACAGATCAGAAGTATGAAAGTCCATTGGGAAACACTGAAATGCCCGTTATATTTTTTGGCATCTTTAATTTCATTAATATAATATATAAGACTTTTAACTGGCTTAAGCTTTTTTACTTTCATATCAAACAAAGTATTATTAATGATATACTAAATAATCTTGCAAATTTCTAGGACCAGCGGTCTTGAAAAATTATCAAAAAAATATTATTTAGCTTGGAGAATTATTCAAGAATCCTTTCTCAATTAATGCATACCTAATAAACAGGTATAAATCAGCTGTATGGGATATCAGGATAAGAAATATACCTTCCTGCTTACATAAGTCTTGCTTTTTTTATCACGCATTCTTTATTCATCTAAATCTATCTGGCCTCTCTTATGGAACATCAAATTAAGAGTGTAGTTCTGGGATCTATAGTATTCAAATGCAAGACGCAATTCCTCATTATACCTATCGAGATGCATCCCATCCAAAAAATTAGACCTACATGGTATAAATTTCTTACTTAGTAGATCCTTAAAAATGTATTGACAATTTCTTTCTCTAGTGTGATGACATAGCGGACACTACTCAAATTTTTTCATGATATATTTTAGTGGATACTTCCACTGATGTGTATCTTTTTTACAGAACCAAAGATAAACATTATGATTATTTACTTGCCAAGTTCTTTTTCAGCATATTGATAGGCTTCAGTTTAATTATTATTAGCAATTTAAATATAATAAACGAATTCAATAGGATGATATTTTCATATAAATCCATCAGGTAGATACTCGATTTTATCAGGTTTCTCAATCACTTGGAGTTCCTTATATTTAAAGAGTCATTTGGGATTCCGTTTCATCAAGTGAGCAGTTAATTCAATAGGCTTGTCCTCAAGATAATATAAGACCGGTTGTAGTGAATTCCTTTTAATAATGTCTCTTTTGATCTTATAAACACGTAATGATCAGTATGGATCAGTTGCTTAGTGCCTATGATCATCTTCCAGCTCACCTGATTTTAATAGATATCTAACTGTTATACCCTTTTTTAACTTTATCTCTTCATGTCTTTTAATTGTCCGCTTAGCTTTACTAGAAGATTTTGATTCGACTTCTTTCAAAGTCATAGTATAAGCTGGTGATATTCTGATAAGGCGAATCTTACTATTATTTATAAAATCAATGTACTTCTTAAGGATTTTATTCCATAATTTTGATCGCTCTCCTTTAGCTAATCATCCTTCTATAACATATTGGACATTATGTATTAATTTTGCTAAATTTTTCTTGAATGCTTTAATCAAAGTCAGGCTTTCAAAACTATAAGGTCAACAATACGTATAGTAACATTATACTGTTGTATCCCTCATGAGAATGCATCCTGGAATGATGTATCACCATAGGTCATTAATAATGTCAGCCATGTGAGGGAATTAGAAGAATCCTCATATATTTCTTTGATTGCAATCCAGATTTCTAAGCTATTTCTTGAAGTTAGAGAACGTCTTTCCTTATAACATGTTATCACATCTATGACTAGCAAACTACAAATGAAAATCCTTTTACCATTCTGATTATCGTGAATATAAAGCAGAATATCACACTGATGAACTTTGTTTGGAATCATAATCTTCAAAAAACTTGTCTCGACTTTACATGACAATAGCTGTAAATATATTTGATGATTATATTAGTGTTTTAACCATTTTATAATATCTTTTAGTCGAAAAAAGTATCCTTTCTGCTGACATTCTCTATGTAATTTTTTAGCATTAGAATAAAACCCAGGTATATTATAAAACAAAAGTCTACAGACTATACAGAACTCTTCATCAGAATCTATCACAATTTGCAATTGGCTCATTCTCAAGACATAATTATATGATAGCTCTATAAAATAGGATTGAATAATAGTATGTCTGAAATAGATCTGACATACTTACAGCTTTTAGATACTAATCAAGAGTTTCGTAGTGAGCTTCGAGATGAAATTTCTATTAATAAAAATAACAAGAAAAAATTTGCTCTTTCGTAAAGAAACTTGAGTAATGTTATCAGACTATCTCATTATGAGGTAATACTATCATAGCCTACGAGAAAGGGATAGAGAAATTTAAATCTGAAATATCTGATTTGCGAGAACAGTTTAGGGTTTTACAACAGGATAAAAAATTTAAAGATGAGATTGTATCTATTCAAGATAGCTGAATCATAGATCTCGAAAGTAAGGTTGAGCATCTTAAGGCAAGAATCTGAATTCTCATAGATAAAAAAATTTCAATAAATGCTTTAGATATGACAATAGCTGATCTTATTGAAAATATTAATAGAGGTTAAATCAGATTGAAAATCATATTAAAGGTGCCAGTACACTACTGCCAAATCCTATTAATATTTTAGATAGTATCAGGGGCTCATTAAATACTATTTGGATTACTTTGCAAAATGTCACAACTGAGCGAGATCAATATTAAAACATATTAAATAAAATAAATGAGCAGGAACGAGTTCTTATATAGTAGTTAAGGGATATGAGAAATAAAAATCTGCAATTCTAGCAGTTATTAGATGATTCTTGAGTTTAAGTAGAAAGAACTACGAGATAAAGGGATATAGCTATGAAGGAAAGAGATACTGCTCAAGAAGAGCGGGACATGCTATTCTAGCCTATAATAATGAGAGATAAGAATCTCGTCACTAGATGTTTTCATATCAGAATAAAGATAGGCGTATTCAAGGATTATTGCAAGAAAAATTTGCTAAACAGCTATTGTATCAGCGAGATATTAACCGTTTACAGCAAAATACCCAACAGTTGCAGACTAATGTCCAAAATCAGGTAAATAGGATGTTAGCCATTATAGCAAGAAAATAAACCTGCATTGGTGGATTACTACGTAAAAAGTTTGTTTTCTAGCTAGTGATTAGGCAATAAGACCAGAATATTTTAAATTTGCAAGGACAAATTTTGATACTTCAGAATAATCTGATAGCAAACATGGCTGAAGTTAGACGTTTACCAGTATTAAATTTAATCACATCTGGTCTTGCAAAATTTAAGCCCTATGTAGGACAGGAACCTTCAGATAAGTATTTAAATAAGGTGATTCAATTATAGTCATTTGCTAAAGGACATATGAAAGCTCTTGAAAATGTAAATGTCAGAGATTTTGACAATGCATACAAATGTGATCTTTTAAAATCTAAGATGGGAGAAATATATGCACCAGTTCCTGTCAATGATCCATATAATGGAAATAATCCTATCAATACCCCAGATAATTTAAGAGCTTGGATGAGATCAAAATATCAGTGTGAAACAATAGGTAGTCAGCAATCAGCACTCCAGAGGTTAACTCAAGAAAAATTTCTACTCACAGATTCACCAAATATTTATAAAAAAAGAATCTGACCTTTATTATTAGGTGTAGCGAATGGTGATGTTCAAACTGTAGGATTTCTTAAGAATCACTTATTGGGTGATCTTTATACATAGATGCAAGCTGTTGCTCCTGGTAGTATTGATGCATTCTTTACAAATCTAAAAGACATGTGGCTGGAGTATGCTCCAATTTAAATGGAAGCCAAAATTATAAGAATAATTCTTCAGCTGAGATTGAAAAGTTAAATTCCCAAATAGCCTCTCTATAGGCCTAACTAGTATAACCAGCTCAAGTACACTCCTAGAATAATGAAGTCTCCGCTATTTTTGAAAAGTTAAACTCCAAAATAGCTTCTTTGGAAGCACAGTTAGTAGAATCAATGCAGATGCATTCTAAACTTATCCAACGCCTGAAAATGTAATTAATTCGAATAATGCTTCAATTCTTGATAGTCAAATTAATTAAGAATTAGAAAAAGATTAGGAGTAATCAAAATTAATTTAGCCAAACTCACTAAACTCATAAGAGAAGATACTATAGATACCAAATCAGCTCAGTATCATTATTCAGAACTCTCAGACTATAATAATGAAGGATTAAAAAAAAGATTAGAATGAATTGAAGCCTACTTAGCCAAATTTATTAGAAAAGATACCAGAGGTGCCAAAATACCTCAGCATTAACGCTCAGAGTTTTTACCTTTTGGAGGATTGAAAAAAAGATTAGGACAAATTGAAGTCTTATTGGCTAAACTCGCTAAAGATTTCAAATCCAGAAGTGGTCAAGTTTATATGGATATAGTAGATAATCAGTCTGATCCCATTTTTTCTGATGATGATACATCAAAACCTAAGGACAATGATTATAATTCTGATAATTTGTCAGCTGGTTCAGACTCTGGAAATCGTGGTATAAATATTTTCATAAGTTATGGAAAAAAAAGTGAATTACACTGAGCAACGTGGATATCTCGATAAATCCTCAGAGTCTAAGGTCTCTAGTAAATTCGAGCTTCATAAGGTAAAGTAAGACAATAATTTGTCTTCCGCCCATAATGCCTTATCAGATAAATATAGTCATGATAAGCGTGTGTCTTTAAAAAAAACTATTTGCAAAATCATTCAGATCAAATTTGAGAATTGTCTTCTGTACATAATTCAGCAGGCTAAAAAGTGTGTACTTGTTTTAGCTCAAGATTCAGATGAAGAGGATATTTTGAATGGACCCATGGAGATAGATTTTGTCAAAAAGAAGGAGTCTACCACAAGCATTGCGTCTATAAAATGCAAGATTAAGCGTCTTAAAATTCCAGCTATGGCATTGAACTCTTGTGCTAAACTTTCCATTATAACACCTGATATTGTTAAGCATGTAAAATATGAAATTAACAAATCTATAAAACATAATCTTAATGGTATTGCTATTGTGCCAGTTGAATCTATTGAAGTCATTCACAATTTACCGATAACCTTAGCTCTTGGATTTACTATATATGACAGTGATGGGTTTTGGACGTGTCCAATTAGTTAATCAAATTGGACAATTTTGGACAATTTTGGACTTGTTCAAAATTATCCAAAATTGTCCAATAAATTTATGGGTTTTGGACAAGTCCAAAATTAATTTAGGACTATCCAAAATTAGAAATTAATTTTATTTATTGAAAAATTGATTATTGTTGATAATCTTTTTTTTCTATTCTCGTTTTT